CAGGAGCCCACAGCTCTCCTGCATGCTCCTGGGTGGCCAGCCACGTGAAACCACGGCCCGGTGTGCCCCATCCAGGTCCTTCTCCTGCCTCTCCTCCCCCTCTTCAGTTCCTGTGTCAGTGGTCCCAGAGCAGGGGAGGCACACGCTCCCCTCAGCTCAGCTCTCACCTCTGCTCTGCTCTTGCTGCCGCCGCTTCCAGTCCTCTCCAGGGCTGTGTTGGCTGCAGACCTTGAGAGAAGGCAATGGGGGCGTCATCTCCAGCAAAGACCATCACCTCTGCCTCCCGTCCCTGCCCCCACTCTCCTGAGACGCTGGGATCCCTTTGCACATGCCCCAACCAGGCCATCCCTGCTGCTGGCACACCAGCAGCCCAGGAGGTTTGGGAACAAAGGGGGGACCAGCCAGGACAGTGATGACACTAGAGGGCAGCAGGGGGCTGCACCCCGCTGTGGGCAGGGGCAGTACCCCGGGGATGATGGATCCTCGGGTTCCCGCAGCTCGAGCCCTGCTTGGGCCGGCCAGGGTAGCGCTTGGCAGGGAGAAGGGCGCAGGAAGGCTGCAAGGGGGGTGCTTCGCTCAGCCCCGTAAACCCACGGCTAGTGCTGGTACCTCTTCCTCAGGCTGAGTCCGGCCAGGAAAGCCAGCAAAACAGCCACGCAGCCACAGCCCACAGTCACGGGCCAAAACCCAGAGTCTCCCGGGGTCACGGAATCCTGGGCGTTCGCTGCTCCTCGTTCTGCTGGGGAGACACCAAGGCAGGGGATGGTACACCCAGGGACCCTGGCCCTACCGCAGAACCACTGTGGTGGCAGGGCTGAGAGAAGTGCAGTGAGGCGCGGGGACCGTCTGGAGCCCCTCTGGGTGGGGGGAGAGGGGAGCAGTCACAGGGCACGTACCTCTCGGTTCCACGGGGCTGACGCGCAGCACCGTGTGGTTCTTGAAGATGCTGCTGCACTGGAGCAGCCGGATCTCACACACGTACGTGCCGCTGTCATTCACCTGGCCGTCCTGCAGCTGGATAGAGCCATCCCAGCGGGACGTGTCCCCCTGCCACTCCGGAAACGGCCCACAGGGATGCTCTTGTTGCTGTAGTAATAAAACACCATCTCCTCCTGCCGGGGCACAGAGAGCATCAGGTGAAAGAAGCCCAGCACAAGGGCGCTGCCCTGCATGCTTTCCCTGCTCAAGAGCCCTCAGGTCCACGCTCTCTCCCTGGAGAGC